GCAGCGGCCCTGGCTGAGGCGCGAGCGGGGCGGAAGGGCGCTTTAGGTTTTTGGCTTCGTGCACCCGTAGGCGCGTCGACCCACCGGAGCAGCCGTGCCGGAGGGATGGCTCGGCTCCCTCGGAAATCTTTGGCTTCGAGAACAGCTCACCCTCTTAAAATGTATTTAGGGGCCATGCCACGGTGCGTTCCTGCCCCCAGAAGGAGGGACGGGGTAGCCGAAAGCCGTCCCGGACTTTCTTTTTTTTTTTTTTTTCTTTTTTGAGGGCGTTGTTTTCTTTCCCGATGCATCCGGCCGTCGTGTGACGGGGGAGATCGGTGAGGCTGAAAGGCAGACCCGTGCTCGACGCCTGCTGGGGCGTGAACTCGACCTTCCTGTACTCTGACGTCCCTGTGCTCTGTTTTGATTTCAGTTAAGCGTGTACACTACCACACGGTCAAACATTGGTGCGGAGAGTAACGTAGATCTGGTTTTGAACGTGGAGGATTTTGATATTGAGTCCAAATTTGAAAGGTAGGTATCCCACCTACGAGTTCTGTCTGTAATTCTGAAGCGCCTATCTGAACTGCCGGTGAGGCGTATGGAAGTACGCATGAAGCCAGGTAGACTGCTCACGATAGCCGTGCTGAAAGAGCAGGGTGGTTGTTCTTGCGTTCTTTATTTTGGGGTTAAAGCTATTTTTGCACGCTGTGCAGGCTGTTCAGTTCACACTGGTTTTCCTAGACCACTAACCATATTTGCCGCGGTAAGGCAGGGAAGACGTTGCTTGGATTTCAGCCTTAGGGTTGAGGACAAAGTGCTGCTGTTAATAAAAATAATATTTTTAATTAAAGGTTCCTAGCGTATTTTATAAATTAAAAATTGGCAAAATGCCTGCCGTGATGGGGATGGTGTGCTAAGTTTGCCTGGGGCTTAGCAATAGGCTCTTAGACAAACTTTTCTCATATTGAAAATCATCTCATAGTTGCAAGAAACAAAGCTTGCAAAGCAAAGCTATACTAGTAAATACGAAAATGTTTGTTCCTCTCCTGTAGACTTTACAAATCTTGAACGCTGTCCTATGTCATTTGTCTCAATTTTCAGATTCCTCTCTAGACGTTCATCTCGCTAGCTGTGCTAGATCAGTAACGTATGCGTGACATGCTAAACTCAAGTATTGGTTAGTTTGGAGCAGCGTGGCGTTTTCGGCCATATCGACAATGTTTTATGAAAGCATACTTTGCTTATAAGAGCACAGATGACTTTCCGTTGTGAAAAATCTAAGTCAGAATGTCTGGAAATGCTTGAGACTTCCCTTTAATAGCGTGTATAGCCAGTCTACTTAGCTACATGATGTTTTGTTCTTAATAGCCGTGGCTTCAGACCTGGAATAGAACTTGGAAGACAAACAGTGTTCTCTTTTCTTGCGTTTTAGCAGTGTGCTCCTCTGTAACTGTTTTAGTGCTCATAATTGTAAAAGCAAACCTTGTTTTTCTGGTAGTTTAGGGGTTTGAGATCTTTTGAAAGGATATTGGTGCCCAGATGGAGTAAGACTGTGCCCTTCTGAGTGTAACACTGCATTCTGCGTACGCCTCTCTACAATTAAAACGATTAGAACTACTTGTTTTGTGCTGCGTATTTGCTGCCTCACTCTTTTTTTTTTGTTTGTTTAAAATAGTCACCTTATTCTTGACTCTGTTGTCGCAGATTCTCCCAGGTTCTTCCACGTTCTGTGTTTTTCTATAATTAAAGAATGTGTCGGTCTGCAGCTTAGGTCAGACTAAGCTTCATCTCTGGCAGACCTGCAAATATAAGAATTGTTTTACTGGCAGAGCCTGCTAAGCCACTGAAAGCATTCAGAGCAAAATAACCTGAGCAGATTTACAGGAATAGAGGAGACATTATGCAAGGAGTAGGATGATTTCTTGGCTAACGCAAAGGAAGTGACATGTTTGGGGCTCCTATGTAGAGTTCTGCGCTTGGTGTGCTATAGCTGAGAAGATGCTTTATTAATGCGACGTGCTTGGCAAAACTTTGGAATTTTCTTTTTAAACTTTGTATCATATATACAATCTGCAATACATGTTGAGCACACGGAAGGCTGTTTTCTACAAATGTGATAATTTTGGCCCTATGACCTATCGGCCGGGGAAAACAACAAAAAAACTGATGATGCAGTCCTGTGTTATCTAGGGTAATAAAGTATGAATTGGACAAAGATTAAAGTATCTTAAGATAATAGTAAAACTTTGGAAATGCAGATATTATGATACGTACTGGTTAAATTGTTCCCATCTAGCCACGGCTCATTAGGGCATATTAGACAGAACTAATTGTGTGCCAGGCAACCCAAGTGTGTTTTTGTTTGTTTTTTTTTTTGCTTGCTTCCCAATCATCTTCAGTGATCCTTATATGTAATAGCTAAATATTTCAGTATATGCTATGTCATCTCATAATGTGTTTATTTTGTATTTTAGGACAGTGAATGTCTCTGTACCAAAGAAAACACGAAATAATGGCACATTATATGCTTATATATTTCTTCATCATGCTGGCATTTTGCCTTGGCATGATGGTAAGCAGGTGCATATAGTAAGCCCTCTGACCACATACATGGTCCCTAAACCAGAAGAGATTAATTTGCTCACTGGAGAATCAGCCACACAGGTAGGTGTTTTTTCCATCTATAGGGGAAAAAAAGCAAAAAAAAAAAAAAAAAAAAAAAAGTGATTTCTTTTATAGACACTTCTAGTGTTAGCATCTGCTATGCTTGCATCTTTACCCTAATGATGATATTAGCAAAACAAAAAATCAAAACCCCTCTTCTTGATTATCAGCTTGTATGCTAATAGTAGACCACTCAGCACAGCAGAGGTAAAGCCCTCTGTATCACTGGCTGCTATTAAAACACTTTGCTAGTTAACATTAACTACTTCTTTAATGATTTATTGCTTTTGGTAGAAATACTGTATTGTTCTGTAACAGCGTGATGCTGCTTTCTGTAGTGAATTGGATTAATGTGAAATAATATGCTTTGCTTTTACAAAACAGAGATATGAACTTGATTTTGACATTGGTGAGTGACCGACGTAAATTGCATCTTTTCTTTTAGGATGTTCTTACTGTTCACTCTCATTCAAGGGAATAAGATCATATCCTTTGACAAATACTATGACTTTTCACCATGGGAGAAAAAATATAGTGTTATTTGATGGAATACTTGTGAATGGCTTTTGTGCCTCGTACTAAATGGAGCTTGAGAATTTCACAACTGTAGCCAGCAGTGCTGTTTGTAAATCCTGTCAGAATAAAGTTGAAAACGAGTTGAGGCTAGAGTCCCACACTAAAAGTCAGAACAGGTGGTGTTCATCCAAAGAAAAGCAAAGAGTGCCCCGGGAGCGTGAGCATCCAAGGAAAGCTAAGGTACTTGCTTTCAGCACTGCTTTACACGGCATTTGGAAGCTCAGAAGTTCAAAACAAATGGTCTGATCTTTCTGCTCACCAAAACTCGTGGTTGATACCAACATCCTTTCAACTGTTTTGAAGTGACATCTGATTACTCTACAGTCCTCATTCAAAGTGACTTTTTCTGACTAGTATCCACATTCCAAAGGTGTTAAGATGAATTAGCTGAATATTCGTTCTTAATGAACAAGGCTGTGAATGGGCGCTGAAGTTTTTCAGTGTGAGATTATGGTGGGCCTTAGCAATCCCTTCTGTCATATTTGAGCAAAATACTTGACCTGGTCGAAATTAAGGTAAAGTATTTCTTAGTGGGCTTCTGTTTTGTGATATAGTTAATGACTCTGTAGCTTCTCTGAGTTATTAGAGCATTATCCCATTCAAAATTCTATATCGTTTAGCAGTATGTATGTTTATTGTATTTTTAAAGCAAATTGAAGCAGAAAAACAGACCAGTGCTCTAGATGAACCTGTCTCTCACTGGAGGTCCAGATTAACCTTAAATGTCATGGTGGAAGATTTTGTGTTTGATGGATCATCCCTCCCTGCTGATGTTCACCGTTACATGAAGATGTAAGTTGATGGCTTAATTTTGCTAGATTTGTTATTATAAACTTACTGCACACTTCTTCAGAAGTCCTCCCTAGCTTCCTTCAGTATTTTATGTTTAAATTGGCACTTAGGAGACAAGAATAAATACTCTTAATGCTTGCATTTTGGTAGTAACGATTACTAAGAGATTAAGTACTAGAAAACCTTATTTGGAGAGATCTTGTTCCTGGACAGCTCAGAGTTTAGAATGCTTTTTTTGTATGGAGATATCGTGGTAAGACAAAGAGAACTACAAAGACCAAAGAAAAATGCTGCAGCAGACTTCATACCCCCTTGTTCTCAAATCATACTTCTGGCCTTTAAAGCAGTTACTGTCCCTTGACCTTTCCAGCTATCCTTCATCTGCGCATTATCTGTACAGACTACAAGTGCTGAAGAGGTGCAGCTGATCTCCTATGACATCTTTTTTCTCCTTTATGACTGGCATTATTTTACTTTGGCAATGTGTGTTCCTACATTATGTCATTTTCTCAAGAAAATACTAGAAAGCAGGGGTAGGTTTTTAGGCCACTAAATGCAGGCAGTAGCTTCTGTTCACAGCTTGCTTAAATTACTTCCAGTGTTAACCATATAAATAGTGCTGTGTTGGCTTGTGGTGCTGTGTGTTGATGCCTTTCTCTACAAGTATCCTGTTAAATACAGAAGTAGTTGCTTAATCAGCAGACCCTGGGGTTCTGGGATAGCTTCCCAGCCAGAATAGATAAACTTAGTAAGCCATAAGATAGGCCAATAACAAGAAGGGATTGGACTGGGGTTGATAAATGAGGGGGGGGTTTTCTGGTCATGTTTGGATACGTGTCAGTGCTGTTTTGTCATTGCATTACACAGGAAATAGTTTGAATATGAAATGGCCTGCTGCAATTCCACTAGCAGTAGCTTTAATTGCAGTTATTATATAAAAATCTAAACCTCTTCAGTTAAATAACCAAGCAGTATTCCTGAGCCTCGATTTGGTACTTTTCTATATTACTGTTGCCCGTTGTATATTTAGGATGCAGTCTTTCTTAGCATGCATAGAGATTTCCTTCTTTTGTGAACAACTAAAATTCAACTTTCAAGCTTTAAAAAGGCCTGTTATGCTGGTTCCATAGACTTTTACCGAGAACATCACAGAGTAGACAACTGCCTTTCTAGTGAAGAACTTTAAGAACTTGTCTCTCTTAGGGCATTAGGCTAAATACTTTTCTAAGATACTGACAAAGCAATTGCTAAGTAACTTTCCACTGGTCAGTTTTGTAGAGGGCTCAAAGGCTGGAAAGTTTCATTGGTTTCGTGCAGGTTGGTGAGGTGGTAGAGCAATCCAAACGAGAGCTTCCGTTGAGGAGAAGGCAGACAAGAATTCTGCTCCTTGTGCGCTCTCTCCAGTAGTATCTAGCCTTCCTGTGTGCTTACCAGCCATCGTGTTCATAGTCCCATGCCAGCTACAGCATGTGCTGTTACTGACCTGGTAGATGTCATTGGGAGTGCAGAGGAGTTGGGGGAGATGGTGGAGAGCTGTTACTGTTGCAGTAGGAGAGGGATACTTGAGACAAAGGGTACAAATATATGATAGTAAACTTCAGCACGTTTCTCTTCAACAAACTTTTTAATTTCCTCTGCCCTTGGTCATGCAACAGCTTTGGAATCATCACAACCAATTTCATTTGTCTTTTTTTTTTTTTTTTTTTTTTTTTGCTTATTCTGTCTTTCTACAGGAAAGTAAAAACAAACTAAAAGGAGAAATGTGACATGCCTAATTTTTTATACAGACATTTCTCAATGAAAGACTCTAGGCTAGTGGCTTCTTTCTTGCTGTGTGTTAAAAGAAAATGTGCCTGAAAAGATGGTGTGAAATAACTACATGGGTAGATCTGAAAGTGATGAATGAGTGCTAACTTGAATAAAAGTAGTTTTCTTTTTAGATCACTATAGTCATAAAATCCATGTTTAAACATCCTAGGGTTCAGTTGGGGAAGACAGTGCATTACCTTCCAATATTATTTATTGATCAGCTAAGCAACAGAGTGAAAGATTTGATGGTGAGTAATAGAATACCTTTAATTACATTTAACAGTTTTAACAGTAATCTTCAATGTTGTTTAATTAAGATTTTGTCATAGGTTGTTTGCTGTAATGAAAAAGTACGAATTCACAATTTATCAATAACTGTTTAATTTAATGTGGTCAACTGTGGTAACTGCAGAGGCTGGATCTAGGTTTTGAGACTCCCCTCTGGCCAAGCACTCCCTTTATTCCACCAAAAGATACCTGGATTCCGTTGCTTCTGCCTTTTGGGTGGATATGGAGGACATCACTGCAGCTGTGGTGGGAGCAGTTTGATGAGCAGTTTGACTCCCTAAGCTGAAGAAGTTGTGTTAACGTCCCAGAGCAGCTTCTGATACCTTCCAGGGAAATGATCGTACTGAACACAGCTGATACTGGAGCTACACTGAGATAAGTCAGTAGCTACTCTCTTACCTCCAAAAAATTCACTTGTGGTTAAATTTTCTGGTGGTGCTCTTTATCGTGTTAGAATAACTTGAGCACCTGAAAGCTTGGTGTTGCAGTACGTCTAACCATTTTGTGCACTCAAACAAATCAGGACTCAGAAACTTTAATAATGGAATTACGGAAGGATGAAGTTGGATGAGATTTCTGGAGATTTCTAGGCCAACACCCCTGCTTAAGAGTAGGGTCACCTAAAGCGGGTTGCTTGGGGCCTTCTCCAGTTAGGTTTTGGATATATCCAAGGGTGGAGATGCCATAGCCTCTCTGGGCAACACATTCTAGTTTTCAGTCACCACTGCAGTTTAAAAAAAAAAAAAGGGGGGCATGGTGTTTACACATTTAAATAGAATTTTCTGTATTCAGTTTTTGCTCAACTCTTCTCTTGTGGGAAATCATACGATTCCCTTTAGTACAAGTTACACATGGCAGTCCCCTCCCTGCATCTAAGCCATGTTCATCTTAGCAGCTCTTAGGTAAGCCCTGGATTTCTTTTCAGTTGCACTGACTGCAATTTAGCAATCAGAGTTACTGAGAACGAAAGTCTTGGGGAAGGTCTCAGTTAAATGAGTATGTCTGGATTCAGCGTCTTCTAGATTGAAGTCTTGGTAGATGTAAACTTTCCACAGACCTTCTAAATTGTCCTTCCAATTCATTAACTTTACCTCAGACAAAGAATTTTGCTACCTAGTGTTGGAAAGAATCATCTTTAAGAACTTGTATCCCCTGCACCCCGAGCTTGTTCAGCAAAATAAGCTCCTGAGCATTTGTTCCAAATCTTGGTAGCAGATAGTTTTGTCCTGTATTTTTTTAGATACACTTTTGTAATGTCTTTATTGGTGGTCATTGTCGTTTGTTTTAAGTTTCTTACCACAGCTCATTCAGTTCAGTACATTCATATGAGCTTCTAACTGGTCAAGTCATTTACCCTGTTTACAGATAAACTCAGCATTCTCATGTTATTAGTAACATTCCTGCAGTTCCATGCATGTCATGGTTAATGCTATTGTAACTCACTGCCTTAAAGTCGTTAAAGATTCTCAGAAGTGCTGCAAAGACTATTCCATCAAAACTAGCAAACTTCCCCTTCAGCACTGGCTTATGTGACTTCTCAGTAGTGACTTGCCAAACTGCTCGCGAGCCCTGTAGAAAGAGTGGTTTAATAGTATGCATACTGTGAGATAAGGAGGGGTAAGTGAAGAGCAGAAACAAATATGGGAAGGAAGCTTTGGTGGAGCAAGGTTGGCATTTGACTGTAAATAAGGGCATAGGTGCTGTCTGTTTGGTGTGCCTGACCTAAAGTCATGGAGCTGAAGATGCATTTTCCCTGCTTGTACTAGGCTGTGTAGATTTTGAACTATTATTTTGACCCACATGTAGGTCTTCTGTGGTAAGTACTGTAGTCTGGAGGTTGTGAGTTCCTCATGTTCTTAAATGTTCTTGCCAGTGCTGGGGGCTTGGGGATTGCGAGGTTGTGAGGACTTTCCATTTG